TTTGGCAACCTCCGAGTCTTGGCTGACTCTGGACATCGGCCATCACCCTCGTACGTACTTACTCCTCGTTATGTACACCTCACACATGCTCGACTTTGATTCTCCGTCTCAATCAGCGTATTAATGCCTCCCCCCTCGCACTAATGATCCCCCTCAGTCTCTTGATCCAACTGAGGTGAGCGCTCTCATTCATGGTTCTACGTACACTTTCACCCACTTAATCTCCTTCTCCCTCTAGGTATGATTCATAGCAGAATTCCAGTCTTTTGATCCAAGACTAAGTCCCTTTCCTTTTCCTAGTCTGAGCCTCTTCATTCGTAAGACCCTATCCCACGACAAACATGAGCCAATGGCCGTCTCTTCTAGAAGGGTATGAAGGTGCAGAACCTCTTCCAACCACTCTCAACCCCGACGGAAAATCCCTGTACAACCCACCTGGTCCCCGCTCGGCCGCCTACGACGAATTCCCGAAAGAAATTGATCCGACTCAGAATGGCTTCGACTTCCACAGTGAGTGTGCCCCATGTGATTAATGCTTCGATTTCATAATCGAATGTTTAGTTTTCCACATGCCCTCTGTACCTGCTCAGGCGCAGTATGCGAGAGAACTATATGAGCGTATAAGGAGAGAGTTTCCAGAGGTGGGGTCGTTGTCCAGTAGTCATTTGTTCATTAATGTTCCTCGTGAGGTAGCTGCGCATCTACAAGTTCTTCGATGAAGCAGTCGGTGCGTATCCGCTTATCCTATAAAAGCAACAGCACCGCAGCGCGGTACTCACCCTTTTCCATCCCAGGGCCCCATCCTACCGGCATGTTCGAGGTAAATACGTTCACCCCGCACCAGACCGGAGCGTTCTTTTCCTGGCTTGTCATGCATCGGGGGCCTTGCGAGTACGTGTCACATCAAATATTTATAATAGTATCTCGATTGTTTTTAAAATTTGCTAACACGCATTTCAAAGCGTCCTCGTCCACCCGAATATAAATGATTTGTACAGAGAGCATACAGAGTTGGCGACGTGGATGGGGAGGAGATGGCCTTTGGATGAAGATCGCTGAAGAATAGGACGAGGAAGTCGTATGTTTGAGCATCTTCCTGTGTAATCGTTATCGCTACCCTGTGTATCATATCTATAAGTCGGGTGCAGCAGATTAACGCAAGTATGTACATATACTATTTTGCTATGAACTCCAAATCTGGAATGGTTATAGATCCGAACCGGTTCGGATCCGATCATATGGAACGATGGGCGATATGAGCGTCGTCATGCATTTAGCTGTGGCCGATCGGCCCACCTTTTTTTTCACCACTACCACCACCATCACCACCTAGTACTACTATCATGGAATTCACTCCAAGACGTATACTAGACAACGCGCTCGACGCCGTAGGCAACACGCCGCTCATCAGGCTCGACAAGATCGCCGCCGAACAAGACCTCAAGTGTAATCTCCGTACGTGCGCTTCCTGTGGAGCCCTATATCAGAATGCAGACCTGACGCCCATTTCAACCCAGTTGGTAAACTGGAATTTGTCTCAACCGGTGGTTCCGTCAAGGACAGGATCGCAAAAGCGATGGTACTAGCCGCAGAGAAAGAGGGTAAACTTATTCCCGGGAAGAGCGTCGTTATCGAACCTACGTCCGGGAACACCGGTAAGTGTCTTCCCGAGTCCTTACGAATCGCGAGTGATTTTGATACGATGTGATATGAAGGAATCGGACTGGCGATGGCGTGCGCGATCAAGGTAAACACGCTACGCCCAGGTGCCTGGATGGTTACTGAATACTGCAGATAAGGGATACTCGGTCGTGATTACCATGCCTAAGAAAATGTCGCTTGTGAGAACTGCGTTTGATCACATGTTGTTTGCTGATGCAAATGGGGTTTTTAGGAGAAAGAGGCGCTCTTGAGGGCGCTTGGGGCACAGGTTATCCGTACGCCTGACGAAGAGCCTTGGGATTCGCCCAGGAGCCATATAGGTAGAGCATTCTATTGGCGTTTTTCAACCCCTCGTGGCTGAATTCCTTAACGATCGTAGGTGTTGCGTGTAGGCTCCAGCGAGAGATCGAGTATGGGATTATATTGGATCAGTATCGGAATGTAGGTTGTTTTGATGGAGTTGTATTTTTTTGGAGGGCTGATTGGGATGTACGTAGGTGAACAACCCACTCGCTCATGAGTATACTACCGGACCAGAGATCATCGCTTCTGTCGTCTCAACTCCATCCACGCGTACAAGACCCTCCTCAATGAAAGTTGACGCATTCATTGCCGGTGCTGGTACAGGCGGCACCATCACAGGCGTCTCACGTGCACTCAAGAAGACGCATAATGCAGACTGCATCGTAGTCGGTGTCGACCCAGTAGCTATGCATAGTCGTACCCTTTAGCTGTCACTCATTTTTTCCTCAAGATCGGTAGCATCCTTGCGGTGCCCAATAGTCTGAACGTCAGTGGGGAAGGCAACCCATACGTCGTGGAGGGTATAGGGTATGATTTATTCCTGATGTTCTTTCTCGGGATGAGGCGAATGTGAATCATTGGGTGAAGACGTCTGATGAGGATGCGTTCAAGGCTGTGCAGGGTCTTATGAGGAAAGAGGGCCTCCTTGTTGGTGGGAGTAGCGGAAGTGCGCTTAGTGGTGCTTTGGCTTGGCTCAAGACGGAACAGGGGCAAAAAGTCGCTGGGACAGAGGGATTGAACGTTGTTGTGCTCCTTCCAGATGGGCAAGTCGTTACTTTTGAATTGTTGGTTTGCCCTTGCTGACCTTGTCTTGCAGCATTCGGAATTATATGAGCAAGGAGTGGTTTTTGAAGAATGCCTTCCAGACGGAGCATTCAGACCTCGCTACACGGATTTCGGGCATTTTGGCGCAAGAGGAGATACCGCCTGTTCAGCAAGCTAATCTCTAGTGCGGACTTGGACTTGGACTTGGACTTGTTCTTTGACTGGTTGCGGCGGATCGGTTTTTACTTTAATCATTCACAATAAGCGCATGATGTTGTCTTTGATCAATCACAGTATTATTTCCTTGCACAAATTTTTATGGTTGCATGCAGAAGCGAGGCAACCCATTTTCACATGACATGACAGCAACTTAAGGATGGACGAGCGGATGAATGACATGTTACGTCCGAATGACTCATGATCATGAATGTTGATCCAGAGCTCGTTAATGCTGCTCTATGAAAGGGTCTGCGATCGATCATCCTCGATGTATTCCTGTTCCACCGCTGCTGTTATTGTCATTACATGGATTAACACAACCCGATTCATTCTAAGCGACAGCGACAGCTCTAGGAGGAACCTCAAACTTGGAAGCGCATTCATCGAACAAGAGTTCTTTAGCACCGATATCTGCGACCAAGGGGGGAGGGGTATTGCTTTAACAAGCGACTGACGTGGTCCCAGTTAAGACCGCTCATCATCAGAGAGGACAGAGACTTACCTCCATAATTGATCAGCCTCGCCCTTTTTGGCACTCAGGCCAGCAGCAACGACCATAGCAGCAAGCATATCGCTCGAGCCTTGTTCGCATTTAGCGCGGGAGAGGATCGATTCTGCCTCTTCTAGATCGCTCTGGGCAGGAGAGAGTTCGCCGCGGAGGATGCGGACTACTGCTCTGCCAACTAGGAGAGCGGCGGAGGAGATGGAGGGATTTGCTACTTGTTCGTTGTAGAATGAGAGTGCGGGTGCGTATGGTTCGCCTGTTATATTTGAGTGATAGTACGATAGATTTGAAAGGAAGACTTGCCGCTTGTGCCTTGCGAGCCTGTTACGAGGGAGATGGCTGATTCCGCGAGTTGGAGGACGAGTGCGTCTGGGTTTGCTTTCAAAACTGGTGCTAGTACCTTTTGGGCGAGTGCTGGACGAGCGAGTGAGAGGTATACTTGAGACAACAGCGCAGCTCTATATATCGATTCATCATCAGTCGAATGGTTTGATAAAAAAGAAGAAAAGGTCGCTAACGGTTCATCACCGATTTTGTCTTCACTACGGAGTGTTTCGAGGGCTTCCTCTATTTCGCCTGCACGTACGAATGCGGTTGCAGCTAATACTTGAACGATTTCTTTCTCCCATTCTTCAGAGTCATCATCGCCTTCTATCTCTACGCATAAGTCGCGGAGTGTTTCTAGGCCTTGTTCGCCCCTTGCGAGTGCGGCGGCCGCTCGGAGTGCGATATTCTCCGTGTCGGTAGGAAGGAGGGCGAGTGCTGATGTGTTGTCACCCAGGGCCAGGTGCGCACGGGCTTTGTAGAGAAGGGTAGGGATATAGTCGGGTGAAGAGTCATCGGGGAGTGGGAGTGATAAGATGGCGGGGTATGCGCCGAGGGTGAATTGTTGTCTGATGTAGTAGATGTCCATGGCGGACGTGGTCAAAGTTAACTCACGTGCTTACTCGCGTCTTACGTAGGCTAGATGTCGCGCCCTACCAAGTTATTCATATTGTTCTCACATGATGCAAAAATACGCCCACCGTGATCACAATCACAAGACCGACTAGCGCTTCATTAAGCTTCAGAATGGAACGTTGTCGAAGCATGGTTCTCGGGGTCCTAGGCAAATGAAAACCTCCTGGGGAACTCATCGTCCAGCACAACGAACAAAAGCTGAGCGGTACTATACCCATTCTAGCCCATCATCCTCTAAAATGAGTTCGCGGAGAACTGGCACAGATCATGCAAACGCCGGTACGGCTTCGCTTATGTCAAATCCCGTAAAGAAGTAATACAAATTTAGTGATCGATTGATAGATGCGCACCCACACTCTATTCGGTTCAAACTCGAACTTATATCCGGTGCCCTGCTCGGTACCAGTCATCGCCTATAAGATGCCAGACGCTCATTCCGAGCTTCAGGTCCTTGTTCATCACCACCATGTCCCTTAACAGAACTCTCTCCACCCGCTTCTCTTCAAAGAGCCAGGCGGTAAGTTTTCTCTTTTCTATATAGTGTACCAACCCTTCACTACTCATAGAATGGTTCAACATTACCGACCTCACTTGCCGATCCTCCTTCCTCGAGCGACGCAGGCACAGCTAAAGCTGTGGCACACATCAAGGACCTCGTATGTTAACCCTTGACAATATTCGCTCAACAACACTTGTTTAGATGAAACGCCCCCTCGAAGAAATAAACGAGTCTGCCCTTGTTAGTTGTCCATCTCACCTTGTGTCCATACAATTTAACCTTGGCTTACAGTCCGCGGCTCTTGATGCCATCAAGCATGCAGATGCACTGGATGATCGCAAGATGCTCGTGAGTCTATTCACCCCTACCACAGATTTTCCTAACCGTCGCCTGCAAAGTTGGAACACTTGTTGTCGTTCATGGCCAATCACCCTTCAGGAAAAATTTCTGGCCTGGCTCGTACTTTCACCATCAAGACACGTAAGTAGCAGCTGCTTCATACGCCAGTAAACCAGGAACGTTAACTCTGTCATAGTGTACAACGACCTCGCCCACCCCCCTGCTACATACATCGGGCCCGAGTATCAGTTCCGCGCTGCTGACGGTTCAGGCAACAACCCTGATGCTCCAACCTCGGAAAAGCCGGTACACCTTATGCACGGTCTGTTCAAGGATCAAACCCCTTGCCACGCAACCAAATGCCCGATGCCGGTCTCGTCTTTGATACTCTCCTTCGCAGAGACAAGGTACTTGTTTTCGACTACATCACCTCCAATCTCTTACCCAACTTTATTTCTAGTTTAACCCGCATCCCCAGGGTCTATCTGCTCTCATGTTCTCCTTTGCAGCACTCGTCATTCACAGTGTATTCCGCTCTGACCATACTCCCGGCAGGCAACATATTAACATGACTTCGGGTTACGTTGATCTTGCACCCTTGTACGGAAACGACCAGGACACTCAGAACAAGGTTAGCTTAGCTCCATATCGAAGCTGAACTACTAATATCTTACATCATCATTACAGGTCAGGAACAAGGACGGCCGAGGTTTACTTCACCCAGATGTATTCGCAGAGGATCGTCTCCTTCTCCTTCCTCCTCCAGTTTGTGTCCTCTTGGTATTGTTCAACAGAAAACCACAATGTATGTTCCCCTGATGTTTCCACGATCATTAATTCAAGCTATTCGATCACAGTACATTGCCCGTCGGTTACTTGAAATCAATGAACGCGGTACCTGAAGGATCCTGCTCACCACCACCACGTCAGCCATGCTCAACTCTCCAAGCAAGACGAAGAGATCTTCCAAATTGCCCGCCTATGTAACTGTGCATGGTTCGCAGCTGTAGTCTTCTCCGACTACTTCTCAGCTATTTTGGGCCTCGTTCGAAAAGGGTCGAGCTGGAGTTTGGAGCCATTCGATGAGCTTCGTAATGAAGACCACTCTGTCTTCGAGCGTGGCCGTGGTAATGCTTGCAGTGTCGAATTCAACTGCCTGTACAGATGGCACGCAACGACTTCCGTCGAGGACGAGGAGTGGATCACTCTCCAGCTCAAGGAGCTGTTCCCTGACAAGACCCCTGAGGATATCACCTTGAAGGACTTTTATTCAAAGGAAGTTTCGCTCACGAAATCCGAGCCGGATCTTGAACGCTGGACATTCGGGAAGTGAGTGATCTTGGGACTTACAGTTGATGCAACTGCTCATATTTCCTTGCAGTCTTCAGCGCGAGACAGAAGGTCCTAACAAGGGATCATTCAAGGACTCTGATCTTGCTGGTTGGCTCCAGGGCGCGTTAGTGATCATTATATCTTATCTTGTGCTAGAGTTAACGTATTATCTCAGGACCTCCCATCGTGCTGCGAGCTTCGGTGCTCGTGGCACACCCGCAGTCATGCGTCTCCATGAGATCATGGGTATCGAGGCTAACCGAGCATGGGGCGTTTGCTCGCTCAATGACTTTAGGAAGTTCCTTGGCTTGAAGAGTGAGTCGTTCA